TCGCAAGTAGCTAGTGGTTGGATGATGAGGTACAAATTGTAAAGGAGGGTATATTTCTTCGCTTGATCTGTTACTTTTATTTATTTATTCATTTATTTATCAAGTGCTACACGTTTTACACTACTACAATTAGTATTATTCATAATTTACTCGATCATATTTTCGAGTACCACATACATTTGAGAGAATAAATTATTCTCAAGATGTGTAATAGTCACAGTTTTGTTTGTTAGTTGTAACAGTTAACTGTTTTAAAAATAGGGTTAATAGATAGATAGATAAACTTTGATTTTTAACAGCAGATGATAGTCTGTTAGGCAGTTAGCTTGACTACATGTTCAAGGTTATCGCTATATCAATAATGAACATCACTGTGCAGAAATTCACTCTTATTGGTTAATAGAATAGCTTGATTGTGTTCTTTGTGTGTGTGTGTGTGTGTGTGTGTGCGTTGTACTATTGTGCATACACGTAATTATGTGTGATACATTTAAGTTGTGTTAGATTTGAGTTATCAGCATGTGGTTTACATGCATATATATATGTCTTCACAATCATTTCTATTAGTATTTTACTGCCTTAAGTTTTTCTGGTTAGCATATATTCATATATTTGTCGAATCTATTTATAAGCGCATAAATTTCATAGAGTTGTATTCGCATTCTATCAGTATTATATGCGCTATGTGATTAAGATTGTACACGGCTATGAACAGACTTGACTGACCAAGCGAATGCTTCAGCAAATGCTTTATACGGTCATTAGAGAGTGTAAGAAGGCAAAGTCTGATATTTATTTGGATTTATTCGTATTGTTCCCTTGGTTTCTGAGTGGAACATAGGTCTTTAACACCACATCTCATTTTGCCCTATTCTCTGCGGTCCTCTTAAGCCGACCCCACGATTGCCCATAGTCTCTCATCTCCTCCTCATCTTTGCCCATTCGAGTTTTACTTGGGTGATGGCCTAACGCACAATATCACCCGACGATCTTCTCAACACGTGTTCTATTCAACTCCGTTTCTTTCGGAATATTTGTTGAGGAAAAGGTTCTTGATTAGTTTGTTTCCAGAGTTATTTGCTGCTTATTCTTTCTGGTCATCGGATCTCCGATATGAAGGCAACAAAGACAGATGTTGATGAAAGTCGTGACGTGTTCACCAAGTTTCTGACTCACGTAGAAGAATTGACTGACTTAACATTGATGTTAGAAATCCGAATTTCGTTCTTTGTTCCGATTGTCGTATAGTACAAATATTACGAAAAAAACGATGTGACTGCCTATGTTGTTGTGAATTCACAGATTCTTGTGTCAGCGATGTATATGTACTGCGGTTATAGTGGAGATGTGGTGCATTGACTTAAGCTGTCGACTACCATCCAATGGATCCAGAGTTTCATATCTTGTTCCACTCTCTTCCGTCCAGGCTACTGGGTAGTATCATCAGCTCTTATACAAGAAGTATACGACTTATAACATGGCACTGAGTATATTCAGTGTCTCATAGCCTCACTCCGTACAGTACTAAAATGTCTTTGGTTTGAATCAGCAGAGATCTAAGTTTTTGTTTCAAATATTGTTTATTATTATTATTATTAAAGCACAAATTTTGTACGTTATGGGCACATCAAGAAATGTGCCACGGTAAGCTCATCTTTTGCGCAAGATCTGAAATACTGTCTAGATGGAAGCAGGTGGTTATCTCAAGGGACCACTTCCGAGTCTTTGATGTGAATTCTGATCTACAAGGCAGCGAAGCTGCTTTCCCATGATTCCCAGGGATCAAGACAGGTTCATACACCACTCGATTCCTTTCGGATGCCGGTGCCCTTTTACTTTTGGCAGGATCACCCCGTCGTGTGGAGGCAGTGATTGAATAGGACTCTCCTGGCAAATACAGCATAATAGCTCAGCTGTCATAACGATTCGGAGTAAGATTATTCCTTCTCATGGTTCTTTAGATGATTTTGTTATCTCTTACCACTGGACTTCAGCATATACTCTGGAGTTATTTGCTTGATTTCTTTGTTCTGTTATGTCACAATCACCATAACATGCTAATGAAATTTACTAATACGCACTGATATTTCTAGACAAGTTCAGGTTTATTCCGTCACAGAACAATTCTATTTGATAAAAACACAGTGTCACTTATTTACCGTTGGTGTTTCGAGCACGGTTTATTGTTGCTCTGTTATGTAGACATAAATTTCTTAAAACACGCTATTTTTAAGTATTGGTTTGTAGGGATTTGATTGATTGGTTACCGGATTTCATCATGAACTGACATAAGTTAGAGAAGCATTAGAAAACTTGCAGGGAGTACTGGACAGTTGTTTCGTCCTAGTTTGGGACTCCTCATCAGAACCAAGGACCTTCTGGTTGCAAGGCAAGCTCATGTACCATTAAGCCCCTGGGACCCCATACAAATGACCCATGAATTTCAACCTCTAGTCCGATTCATGACATAACGTTACCACTGGCCAACGTCTTCGGCGAGTATTTGTCCTCATGCCCGATTTACTGTAACCTCCTGATCACAACTTCCCACTAGAACTCCAGGTAACTACCTACCTGAATAGGGCCAGTCACTAGGGAACATTTCATTGATATTCAAGTATTGGTTTGTAGGGATTTGATTAATTGGTTACACGCCATTTTGTTGTTTCTATTTCCCTCACCTCACTTATGATTTAGAATCCAAATGGTTGCTGATTATTAAAGTATTGATTATTTAATCAATATAACCTGTTTCTCCTAAGGTTATGTACATTAAAACTGTAAATACACAATTTTCTGTTGATACAAGGCAATAAACACACCCCACCTCAATAATCGTTTTCTTCTCTTCTGTCTTCTTGCGTCGCGTGTTCGGTCTTATCGCGTCGTATCGTCCTTGTGGTTGATATTTCTCAAAAATTACCAAGTTTACATACAGTCATAACATGCTCACAATCATATCAAGGCACTACTCACATAACTTTGTTTATATAATTCCATTATTTCCTATCCTTTGATTTTAATGGCAGTGATATTTTCCATATCTCTGGTATTGGCGTTGTACACGCTAGACGTAGATTCGATGAAGAAAGAGATTCAGTGATAAACCTCCCCTTCCACGTAATTATATAACTCTGTTCCATCCTACTGTCTGTTAATGAGTGCATACATTTTATTTGGTGATTTTGGATTATTAGGCACCGAATTAAATGAAATAATTTATAATAGAGAAGGCGTTTAGCTCATCTGGATGACTTTGATTTAGTTGTGTTCTCTGCGTCGACTGTTTTAATTGCAAAACTTGCGTTGTCTAACTAGACAACTTCTTCAGCTCAAGTTTTAGTATGAAGTGAACTTATTTGAGTTCTGTTCATGAATAAAGGCAATCGTATCTCCTTACAATCTTTGTCGTGATTATTTTTTAAACTTGAACAAAGCAAGAACAATTGTACCGGGATAATATGAGCTCATCTTTTATTATTTAATCGAGGATTCTTCTCAACTGGTTACAACCTGAGTAATAAAAAGTATGAATTACATTAAAGATTTGAACATACTTTTCCACGATCACAAGGAGTAATTGGTAGGAATTGAAAGTAACATTAGCCCGGAATGATTTAACTAAATGAGAGTTACAAACACCGACTATTTATAGAATAATTAGACAATTAGGCTTGGAAACAAAAAAACAAGGTTGCGTATATGTCTGTCTGTCTGTTTTCGACATAGAACGTTTTGCACCGATGTGTGTCAGTTCAAGTCGCCACACTCCGTGTAGCACACGAAGCAAGAGAAGAAAGTACAAGAAAAGCATAATAGAGACAGTGAGCAGAGGTGTGAGACAAAGGAGTAATAACGAAGAACAAAACAGTTTCATTGGAAATCATAAGTCACAAGGAGTGGATGCATCTGCGCTGGCCAGCCATTGAGAACGATTTTGAGTCATTTCACCAATTGTTTGCAACCATTAATTTTTACCGTCCCGAGGACTCCCAACCAGTCAGGAAGTCTACACCTTCCTACGTGGCTTAGACCAACTGTTGTAGATTTCATTGACTGGTGCCATGTTTTTGTTTGACCGCCGCTAGCTCTTTTCCAGTCTGACCCTATGTCAGCTAACATTGCTCGTCGAGGGAGGCGATGACTTGGCCTACATGTCCTAACCATCTCAGTCTTTGTAACTTCACGACTTCGTCGATTGATTTCCCCTGTTTACCTAGAACTCGACGCCTAACTTCATGTTGCCCACCTTATTATGCCACTTTACACGGGAAATAGAGCGCAGGCACCTATGATCAAAAACAGCTAATCTTTTCATGTCTTTCACTCTCAGTGGCCAGGTCTCATATGTTACGTATATGTGTGTGTATAGAAACAAGGTTTAGCTAGAAAGAGCATAACAAAAAAGTAGATTACGTAACTAAAGAAAACGTCTTACCTAATAGCCAATAGAAAAAAGGAGAGAAAAGAAACGAGTTAGGGTGAGTCATGTTTAGATGAGAGAGTAGAGTTTTCTAAACATGAAAAAGGGTGACTCATGAAAGTTGTATATTGCTTTTTATCACCATGGCAGTTCAAGATTCACCATTGTCTCTTTCTGTGTACATAGATTCGGTTTAAGTCGTTTGATAGCAGTTGCTTCAGCAAGGCGTAGCAAGCTATGTTTCCTTTGCTTGTTGATTATTTTGAACGACTTCAGGTTGTCTATAATATGACCAGTGTCCAATAGATGACGAGCAATCGCACTGTTTAAATGCTTGCGGACCTTTCAGTCTCAGGTTCTTTGGTATGTGTTCATAAATGCGGACAATAACCCTTCTCTCTATTCTTCCAATGTATGTGCTTTGACACGTACAACATGTAAATTGGTAGACAGTTGGAGGTAACATGAGGTGGGTATTTGTCCACTTTTGATTGTCTTTTATTTTACATTAGTACTGGTCGTTTTTTATTGATTTTGAAATTTAAACTGTTTTGTCATTTAATTTATTCTTTATTAGTTGGTAAATTTGGTCTCTCGGAATGTGTTTGTTAATTGTTGATCCATTTGGTTGCCAGTCTTCTAGAAATTCTTCGGTGTATTTTCGGTGTTTATTGCTGTTTGACATTTCTACATTCTTCCAACCAAATTGGTGTCCATAACTGTCTACATTCATCGATATGAAGAATCCAACAGAAAAAAGAAGAGATAAGAGCAATACTGTTCATAAAATAAGTGTTGCATAAACTGTAATAAACACTACATATGCGTCAAAATAGTCTCCCTTTTTGAATCTCAATCCAAGAACATAAATTAGCTATGAGAAGGCAGGATATGTATTCTGTCATATCGATCCTTTTAGATAATTACAGGCACAAATTTAACTGGGATAATGTAGAAATGTAAAATAGAGGAAACACCAAAAATGCCAGGGACTTTCTAGAAGCCTGATTGGTCTCTAAAATGAATCAGCAATTAACAAACAGATCGGGTATAGATTAAATTTACGAACTAATAAAAAATAAGTCATATGACAAGAGTTCAAATTCCAAGTCATTAAAAATGATCAATAAAGATGTAAATTATCGACCAGTCGCGATAAAAGAGATTGTCAGGAGATACAATTATGTCATTCGTGGAGAATTCAAATAAATTCATTTGATTAATAAAGAGAAAATCGATAGTTCAACGAAGAGTGAATTCATTTTCACAACTGTACAATTGTAAATATATATATATTATATATATATGTTTATTTTGTATATGCACAGATATTTATGTACACTATTATTCGTTATTGTTAGCAGAGAAGCAACGTCTTCTGTTTGGTTGTTTTCCTGCTGAAGGTTATTCTGTCCCCTATTTTCACCGTTTCTTAGACAGTCAGGTGATGTATCTGCGACTCGTATCCGCCCACGTTGAGTCTGCTGTGATTGGTTGTTGAGTTTCTCAAGGTTAGGCTTTGTTTTTTTTCTCATGACCAAGATTTGGGACGTAAACATTGACGTCAATTGTTGTCTATAGTTTTGGCTGGCAGACATCTCTCATCACAGTAGTACCCTAATAAGGATAAATACGTGCAGGTGGTCATACAATCTAAGTGGTCAATTATTGTGAATGCGTGTAAGTAGAATGTGTATACTTTTAAGGGTAGAGGGGAAAATAACTGTAGTCTCGTAGAGATTAGATAACAGATTGTTTGGTTATGTAATAGATTTTGAAACTGTTATGTGCTGGTCAAGAATTTAATAGTCCTGACGCAAGAAAGACGGAAATCAGAAGACCACTAGATTTGCGACGATACTTCTATTTTCCAAAACACCAGGAGAAACAATGTCACACAAGAGTGTGTGAGCAAGAAATATAAATGTCCGAACAAGTGTGTGAACGAATATTCAAAATGAACAAATCAATAGACAGTCTTAACATGATTGGCTAATTATAATGGAATATCGATCCATATATACATAGCAAAATATATCAGACTGTCAAACAAAACACGCATATTATATGGATACATGTCAGAAACTAAGATTAAAATAGACAACTATTACACTGTATGATATTGATAATAAAGATAATATTTACATTAATATATGTGTGTAAAACTTAGGCACCGTGGCAGGATGTAATTCTATGTTAATTTGTTTATTAGATGCATCACACACTCAGCGAAACAGTATTATTATTATTTACTGGATGATGAGGTTTCGAACACAATTTATTGTTCATGACCATCTGATCGACTATAACCATACAACTTCGAAACTCGAGTTTTATACTTTTCTTTGTTCTCTCCTATTTGTCGTAGGGGTAGTAGAATTTTCCAGACATCTGTGACAGGTGCTGAATCATTCCTATTACATGTGTTTGCAGTTGATTCGACAAACGATGCTTCCGTTGTTAATCTCTCCCTTCACTCTGTCATATTAGATTTTAGAACTGTCATCTTGTGTGTAATTGCATGTAATGTTATAGCTTAACTATTCTCCAGATTTCTTGTCTTATAAGGATGAACTAAACTAGATTTTGCTAGGTTTTTGTGCTCTGCTGCTCTGGACTGACCCAGTTCTAAAACTGTGAATTGTGTATTTGACCTGACAATCACTGCAAAGTATTTGATAGACTAAATTATTTTGTTTAATTGGCTCCACAAGATTCTTTAACCGAAAAAGCTTGTTTCTAGATGAGTTTATGGGGCTTGAATGCCACTTTCATCCCTGCCTTGTTAAGAATTTCGCGTAAGATTTCAGAGGTTCACTCCTTATATGGAAGTACTACAGATGATTTAAATTCCTTATCGTTGATGTTGTCATCATATTCTGATCATGTTTGTCATGCATATCGTCATTAACATTATTATTATTAAATTGTATTACTCCGTACTACAGATAGGAAGGAATAAAGAAAACTATAAAATTCAAGTTCCGAAGTTGTGTCGTTATAAGTAGTATGAATATAAACAATAAATTGTGTTCGAAACGTCATCATCTAGTAAATAATAATACTGTTTCACTGAGTGTGTGGTTATTATTATTATTATATCCTTTAATTCCTAGAAGAACAAAGGGCTTCAGCTGCGCGTCTCTATTGTCTTCTGTTTTCTGCCAACTTTTTCACTCCGCTCCAAGTCTGCCCACATGCTTTCATCTCCTCCTCACATGACCTCCTCCAAGTCGCCCCACTGTGGGACGACCAACTCGCCGCTTCCCTTTCGGGTTCCACTCGAGTGATGGCCTGGGATGTGATGTCACTTGATGGTTTCCTCAGTGTATGGCCAATCCATGTCCATTTCTTCCTGCATATTTGTTTCACAATCGGTTCCTGGTTGGTTGGTTCGCTCATTGCCAGAGATCCCTGTTGCTGATCTTTTCTGGCCGGCCATCTGATCTTGAATATTGAGCGAAGACAACTGTTAATGAAGGTCTGTAGTTTGTTGGAGATGCTGTTTATGATGCGCAGTGCAAGTCTCTGATCCATCCGTATAGTAGCACTGACTGACTTCACATTGGAGTTGGAAATCCGGATGTTATTTTTGATGCTGAGTGCTGTTGACCTCCACACAGACTTAAGAGTAATGAAGAGTAATGTCTTGCTTTTCCGATTCTGGCTTTGATATCCTCGTCAGTTCCACCTGTAGTTGAAACGATGCTTCCCAGGTAGGTAGGTAGGTAGGTAGGTGAAGGAGGTTGCTTCTTTCAGATTTATCCCATTTATGCTGACAGTCGTCTGTTGTTGCTGTTGGATAGGATTTTTATCCCCTCTGTTTTCTCAATGTTCACCTGAAGGAAGTTCTATCTATGATGCTTCTTCTTCCAACTTGTTGCTTTTCACTTGCATATCTTCCAATTTGTGAGAAATCAGACATATATCATCATGGGCGAAGTCCAGATCCTCCAAGTTTTTTGTGTGAGTTCATTTTATGCCTGTTTCCTCATTGCCCCCACTGTCTGTCGCATTATATACACACACAGTTTGTCACTGGTTTTTCTATATTGTAACATGAAACAGGCAGAAGAGGCAGACAGCTAAGACAGGACTCCAGGTGAACATAGGGAGGGAAGTGATAAAGACAACCAACAGCAAAAGCAACAACCAATCGCCAGCAATGCGAGGCATTCGAAATAGGTTACTTCCTTCACTTATTTGGCCAGGAAGCACGGTTTGTGAACCATGGACAGTCGAAATGGATGAAGATGTCAAAGCCAGCCAGCCTGAATCGGAAAGACCAGCAAGATACACCTTCATCAATCTGAAACCAATTCGGAACAAGATTTGTATTTTCAAGACAAATTTGAAGTTAGTCCGTTCCTCTATAGGGATCGGAAAAGGATTTCTAACAAGTTACGGAGTTTTATTAATAGATACCTTCGCTTCATACTTAAGAATAAATGGCTGGCCAAAAGAATTAGCAACAAGATAACTCTAGCTGGTAAGAAACCAACCAAGAGTCGACTGTTCAAAAAATCTGTAGAAAAAAATGGAGGTGGATTGATCGGGTATATGTTGAGGTGACCATCAAATGACACGGCGCTCAATGCAGAGCATAATTCTAGTGGAGTCCGAATAGGATGCGATTAGTGGATCGTCAGAGTAAGGGTGGCGAGGAGTAGACGAGAGGTTTTGAGCAATCGTGAACTCAGCAGAAAATAGAAGAAAAGTGGAAATGTGTTTTTGAAGCCGTATGTTCCACTCGTATCCCAAGGGAATAATAATAAATACGGTATTAATACTATGAAAATTAATATGTTGTAACTAGCAACTCACTGTTTTGCCGCTTGTTGGTTTTCTCTTTTTTGAGCTATAGAATCGATCGAGTTCAAAGTTGTCAGACAATGCGCCTTAGTAGACTCAATTTCCAGTATTCCCTGGTCATTTTAACGGGTCATCTCTAACTGAATTCAATTCGTGATCGAAATCAGTTAAATCCTTTCAGTAGATGAACACATGAAACTTAATCTATTGCTCACTATAACTGTGGGGAGAGCTGGCTGTTAGTCGAATTTGGTGGGCAGTAATTTACGTCAATGTTTATGTCCCCAATATTGGTCGCGAGAAAAATGAGAAAAAAGGCTTTGCGTAGGCGGATACAGTTAACATATAGATGATCTGTTGCCTGGTCCTTGTCTTCTGTTGTTGCATAACGACTGACCACAGGATGAAGTTCCCTAGAGCCTCTAGTGAGAACTCGTGACTAGTGGGATCAACTAAATTTGACATGAAGAAAGATATACTCACTAATGACCGCTGCCTGGCGTTCGTGCAATATATCATAAAATAACCTAAGTTAAGATTGATTTGATGTTGGATTCCCTCCAAGCGGTTGAAAATGTTATACGAGTTCGCCTTGTTACCACCTTCTAGGTCCTGAGTTCGACTCCTGTTGGAAGTGGGATCATGGTGCGTGGTGCGTACTATCAAAGAGTTTCAGAAAACACAACGAAACAGCTATCCAGTACTCCCTAAGTAGTTTTTTTCAATGGTTCTTCTCTAACTGAAGTCGATTTGTCATCAGAATTCAGATAATAAAATAAAGAGACTGATATATAATTCTCGTAAAGTTATCCGACAATTTAGTATAAGATTAAACATAGAGAAATGGAATGTTGTAGCCGTGTAAAAAGAGAAAAACAAGGTTGTTTTTTTCTTGAAAAGTATCTGTTTTCTTTCAGTGGTGCAAAGTAGAGTCTGTCACATGTTGGATGGACATAAAAACCTTGAGAGAAACTTATGAAAAAAAGGCTTTCAAACAGCCACTAGACTGAATAATTCGAAAGTACTTCAGTTATTTTCTTTACTTAAACCACTCGATAAATCTAATCAAGTTAGCTGTGACAGTACAGATCACCTGCAAAATTGTATTGTTAGCAATGAATGCGTTCAATTTTTTTCTCATGTAGAACACATTAGAATTATGTATAGAATTTAAAAACAA